ACACACACACAGAAGGTGACGTAATACGTGGACCTATCGTAGGCATTGATCACGTGATCGGTCCGATCTCGTGACCGTGTCACCTGGCAATGAGAGCGTGATCCCCCCTTCCTATCCTCCACCCCTCGCTCCACCCCTGAAAGCAATCAAGTGCAACTGCCTATGGTCAAAGAAGGGACAGAGAAGGAACAGGGTCAGCGGCAGCAGCGCCGCACCGCTTAAGGCTAAGTCACACCGCGGGGTCTCGAACCCCGAACCGCTTCTGCCTGCAAAGGCGGCCAGGACGCGGCGCTACGCGTCGGCGGCGGCGCCACTGCCGCCGGGCTCTTCCTGGACGCGCGCCCCGAGCGCACCTCGCCGCTGCTGGAGGGAGCGAGACGCGGCGCGGTACACACGGGGGCGACAGAGTGAGACGGACGCACAGGGATCGCCTGAAAACGCCGGCAATTAGGCTCACTTTTCCCCCCGCGCATCGCGCCGGCCAGCAGGCCACGCAACGCACCACGATAAAACGGACCCATGAATCACAATTGCACACACACGGACGTACATAAAATATAATTTATTGTAGCGATCGTCTTCATACAGGGTATACCCCCATCGAAGGGTGAAGGGAAAAAAATATCAATTAGGAAAAAACAACAAGGGGCGTGTGTGGGGAGTTAAAACAAAAAGAAAAACATTTTAAAAAACGTGTATAACAAATGTCTAAAAAAAACATGCTAGTGAATGCATTACATATCACAATGCGCCTGCCGCCGGGCCGCGCCGTTTAGCGCGGCTCGCACGGGCAGATCGACTAACAATTATTAATACAACTAGTTAACACAGCAGCGGCAGCGGCCTTCCGCCAGCGCCGCCACGCACTGCACCACTGTCTCCCACACCCACGGCTTCTGCAGCCGCTTGTGCGCCGTCAGCGGCGCCGCGCTCTTCTTGTAGTCGTCGTCGGCGCCCCCGAACGTGACTGGAGTGATTCTTTGGCATTGCGTTGCGCTCCCCTCGCCCAGGGCCAGGACGCGCGGCGCCTCGGGGTCCTGGTCGACGCGGCAGCCGAGGAGGGTCTCGAGCAAGGGGGCGAGCCACAGCACGGCGCCCTCCGCGGGGACCCAGGACAGCCTGGAGTGGGGGGAGGGGGGAGTGAGGAGGGGTGGGCGGCGGGACTAGGGGTAGGAAGGTGGTACAAGGTAGCTGGACAGTCACTCGGCGTCCCGGCGACGGTGGCAAAAAGGACGCCGTTTCCCGACGACGTGATTTTGTTTTTTGACGTCGGAAAACGGCGTGCCAGGCGCAGCCAGAGCGCGCGAGACGCCGGGCGAGGGGAAGCTCTTAGTGGTTGAGAATGCGCAGGTTGCCTGACACTATTTTGTTCTCCAGGATGGCCCCGGACGGGATGTCGATCCGGTCGCCGTGGTTCGCGATGATGATCACGGTGCCCTGCAACGCAACACGCTCGAGTTCATGCCACGGAGTGTAGCGAGCAGCGTCTTTTTGCTTCTTCATGCGCTTCGCGCAGTAAAAAAGTAAAAAGAACGTCGCAGAGCGTCGCCGCGCAGAAGAATTGTCCTTACCTTGAGGGACACGCCCTTGCCGAAGGTGACGTCTCCGGACACGGTCAGGTGGTCCAGCTCGAGCATGTCCGGGATGGTGGCGAACCTGGACAGGAAGTCCTTGACCTGCAAAACATAACAAGAGCCGGGGTCAATATCGTCCTCGGGTACACCCAGAAAAATGAAAAGTTGTAGCGATGGTTACTGCAGTTACAGCCATAAAATATGGTTGAGGCAACAACGGCTCAGGAGCATCAACCGAAAATGCGGTTTCCACCACTGTCGGATCATTGCATCACAACCATATTTCATGGTTACCCCTGAAGGAACCACATGATAGTGGTTATTAAACGACACTGACCTTGTTGAAGTGCTTGTCGCCCAGCTTGATGAGCGGCGTGGTGGGGAACATGCGCAGCGGGGACATGCCGAGCGAGCCGCCCTGCATCGCGTACAGGTTGCTCATGACGAGCAGCAGGTCGGAGGTCTTCTTGACGGGGAGGAAGCGCGACCGCGGCACGTTGATGCCGATCCCTCTGCTGAAGCACTTCATGGCGGCGCCCACGGCCGTCTCCAGCTGGAGCACGTCGTGGCCGGAGTCGAGGTGCTTGGGGTTGAGGATGATCTCCATGTTGAGGGTGCCCTGGGCCAGCACGTTCTCGATAACTGCAAGGAAAACATAAGGGGAGTCTCAGAACATGCTGCTCGCCCCACCGACTCTCAGTAGCAGCTTGATCTGGCACACTGGCGGAGCGCGACCTCACCGTCCAGCTTGATCCACAGGTTGTTGGTGTTGAAGAACTTGAAGGTCTTGACGGAGGTGAAGTCGTCCACGTGCTCCTTGGGGACCTGGGCGATCTCGAGCAGCCTGAGCTTGTTCTCGTACTGGATGAGCGTGCCTCCCTGCGGGACAAGAAGATGCGCGCGGTGAAGTCAGTATGAGGTTCAGGTGCGTGCGTGCGTGCGTCCGTGCTTGGTGCGTGCGCGGCCATGGCGTGCCGACGCGACGGCCGGCCCCGCCCGAAGCCCAGCCCGCCAGAGGTCCGGTCACTTTCATTAAAGATTTTCACGGGCGCGTGCGAACAGGGCCGCGCCGCGGAATGTGAGGAACGCATTCGGCGCAGCGTCCAAGCCGCGCGTGCATCTCCCGCTCCCGCAGCAGCAGCAGGCACGTACCGCCCAAGTCGCCGTCGCAGACCCCCCCCCCCCCTCCCACCTCCCCGCCCCTCATCCTCCGGCCCTGATCCTCCTTCACTCACCTTGACGTCGGCCTTGGTCTTGTCCGTGACCTCCATGACGAACTCGGGCGCGTCCTGGCCCGGTGCGAGGACCAGGTCCAAGATCCGGGTGTCGACCGTGGCGCCCAGGTTGTCGATGTTGGAGAGGAAACAGTACTGGCGGCCCTGTAAAAAGCAAATACGACAAATAAAGTTTTAAAAATAAAATAAAAATACAAAATAAAAACGACAATGCAAATAAAAGTGGTCATCAAGGGGGTCAGCTGGCCGAGGTCGCCGCGTGTCCAGTGAGAACGACAATTAGTTTGGGGGCGTGCCGCGGCGGCGTCGCACGGCTCCGGTTCCCAACCTTCTTGTCACCGCCGCGCCGGGCAGCCGCACACCTCATTACCAACCTTTGCGCATTTAAACCCAAATTACAAGTTTATTTAAACAATAGGAAGGTCTGCGCGCGCGGGAACAGCCCGACCCGTCCCTGATTGCACGCCTGGACCCACACTGCTATAAGTACAGAAATATGTCGCTCAAACACAAAAAAAAATATACAGTTATTTTGGAGTAATTTTTTTCCCTCCCCATGTTAGCGTACGTGAAAAAGAGTACTACATAGGGCAGATGGCAGCGAGGGGCTTGGCACTGCAAACGCCTACAATGCGAATGAAAAGGCTCTCCGGTCGCGGGGTAGATCCGCGAACCGGTCTACGCTGTACTGCCGGCGCGACGCATGGCCAGATAGCGCACGGTGGTCACCGCGTCCAGCGCAGAGCGCGCAGTGCTTCCTGAATAACAGGATCCTGTTCAGTCGCGAGCGCCGGCTGCTGGCTGCTGCGGCTATGGCCATTCCTTACACCTATTAACTCGCCCCGGCTCGCCACTAACCTTCCCTGTCAATGAACGCGCCTGTCATACGGCCGCCGCCACGTGGAGGAACTACACGCGAGGTACACAGAGCAACACGGCGGCACCGGGGGGGCACCTGGTGGGACACTGGACGAGCTACGACGCTCGCAGTCGAACACCTTCCGCCAACACGTGGAGGAACTACACGAGGTACCGAGCTACACGGCGGCGCTAAGGGTAGGCCAGACGCGACGATCACCGACTTGCAGTCGAACGCTTTCCGCCACGACGTGGGCGACGTAGGGGAACTACACGAGTTACCGAGCTACAGTGCTGCAATAAGGGCAGGCAAGACACGACGATCACCGACTAAGGCAGTCGAACGCTTTCCGCCCCCACGAGGAGGAACTACACGAAGGAGACGAGGGACTGCGCCAATCTTCCGGACCGTACCCTTCCCTTAGAGAGCATTTTATTTATACCTGAGCGATGAATTTGGTGAGGAGGCCAGAGTTCTTGAAGCTCTCGTAGAAGTCACCGTGGCCGGGAGGGTACCAGCTGTACGAACAAAAAACAAAAAAATATTCAGTATTCCACTTCTATGGATGTTTTCGCCGCCCCACCCAGCTGGGTGCACGATGGGCGGCCTACCCGTCGGGCGCTCGCGGTGCGAGTACGTTGGGTGGCCTGCCCGGTGGGCGAGGCGGCAGCGCGGTGCAGACACAAACACGATCACTCACGCATCCAGGTCGGCCTTCACGTCGGGGGTCTTGCAGATGGGGTGGAACGTGTCCTTCTGTATCCTCGGGTAGCACGACTGGTTGAAGGTGTGGAACTCGACGTTGAGATTTTCGTACTTCCTCACGATCTTCTGGGTGTCCTCGTCCGTGTTGAACGAGTTCATGAGCACGAGGGGCACGTTGACGCCGTACTTCTTGTTGAGGTGCTGGAAGCAGAGGGGAGAGGTTGCGTGTAAGCATATCAGTACTTAGGCGGTGGGTGGGGGTGGACGGGGGTGAGGAGTAGGTGGGTCTGTCCAACCAGGTCCAAACTCGACGCACCTCGATCTGCTGCACTGTCAGGTCGAGGAAGGTGAGATCGTTTCTGACGCTGATGATTGACTTGGGACCGCGACAGCCCATGCTGGTGCCTAGGCCTCCGTTGAGCTTCACGACCACCAGCTTGTTGAGCATATCCTTGATCCTGGCCTCGCTGGGCTTGTTGAGCGAGTCATATTGGCGCACCTGGGGGTGGAAAATGCGACTCCATTAAGATTTGTGTTTCGCAGCTGTAGAAGCGCGAGCGTCATCTCGAGCTCGAATCCCGCGGTGGTGATCGGTTCAACCGCCTCTCTCTCTCTCTTTCTCTGTGATAAGAGAGAGAGAGAGGCAGAGGACCCCGATAAGATACAAGTCATCGAGTGCTTCGCAGAGCTGATGACGCCCGTGTCGCTCCCACGACACACGGCGCGGCACCGGACCACGACTCACCGCGCCCTCGGGCAGCTTCTGGATCTTGTCCCACTCCACGGAGGGCCCCTTCTCCTTGAGGAACCTGGCGAACAGCCTGGAGAAGCCGCCCAGCTCCTTGGCGCGGGAGGCGCGCTCCTGGGGGGACAGCTGGCTCAGCAGCTGCTCCAGGTCGGCGTCCAGCCGGGTGGCGGCGTCGCGCTGCATGGCCTCCTGGAACTCGCTGCTCTCCTGCGGGGGACAGAGAACAAATAAAAGTCAGCCGGGGGGTATAGTTGCGGCGTAGCTACACATCGCGGACGGGGAGTAGCGCCGAGATACCCCGCTCGCTCGCCGTTCAACAGGTGGCCGCCGACAGAGGGCGCCGTCGCCGCGACGAACGACGGGCCGGAAACAGCGGCGGTCTTCCCTGCGCGCCATTTCTCTACAAACGCCGGCGGTGGCGGCGGCCTTGTTCCATTTCGCCCCGTTTTGTTATTGAGTAACATTCGCTGAACTTTGACCGGAGGAGAGTCGTTTTGATTAGGTTCCTCACCAGTGCGTCAGCGAGCTGTGCGGGGGAGATGTCTAGCCGCGGAAAAAAAGGAGGAAAGGGAAAGGGGGGAGGGGCACCCCATCCCGCGCAGAGAGGTGATGAACTTGGTAAGTGCGTAAGCAGTTGCCACGACTATACTTTCGCTATCCGTCTCTCTCGCACTCGTCGCGCGGAGCCCCGACGCTCTCGGTGGCGATAAGGGCGAGCTGTTGACCTGGTCAATCAGAGGTCGCTACCTTGGCGGTAATGAGTCCAGCGCTTCCATAAAAAGAAACGGATGCTGCCCGGACCGATATATCGAGACGGCTATCATTGTTCGAGGCCAGCGTGGGGGGTGGCAGCGGCGCGGGGGTCATGGGTCATCGGCCGACGTCGGGCCAGCACGGGGAAAACTGAGGTATGTGTCAGATCAATGGGTGAGACCAGTTTTGGTCACACCATGTAATGTGACCTGAGTTTAGGTCACACCAAGTAATGCAAAATTAGCCCAGAAGGTATAGGCAGAACAAACGAGTCACAACACAAACGTGGCCACAAATACGGTAACACCACACATTCGACATGCTGTGGATGTCACACTTGCAATGTGACACCATGTCACATTAGTTATTTTTCCAGTGAAGGGAAGAGGGCCCGGGTCGCACAGACCGGAGGTCCAGCGCTCCGCAAATGTCCAACCTGCCACCAAACAGCCTCGAGCGGTAGGCAACCAGCCCGCACTGGTGCAGGCGGTAGAGTCTAACCACAGAGGAGGGCGGGGCGAATCGGTCAGTTTGTACAGTCTGCAGTATATTCAGCAGAAATGCAAAAAGAAAGAAAGAAAGAAAAACACATTTCCGTCCGATTGAGTAAACAAATGAGTACTACGTGGTTTACTGGAGTCATTATTGGAGGTAAATTTTTTCTCAAAAGTGTGGCGCTCCAAGTCGCGAGTCGCGGCGTGTTTTTCAGCTCGACGCCAAGAAGCGTAAACAAATAACGCCGCCGCCGCCGGCTTCGCACGTGGCTGGAAGAAGCAAACTACGCGTTCAAAAAGCGCGCCGGCTCCTCTCCGTCCCACCCACCGGGCATGGGCGCCGCGGGCGCCGGCGCCGGCCGAAACATGAGAGAGGCAAGGAGAGCGAGAGAGAGGAAGAGAGAGGAGAATGCGCTCACAGGATGCAGCCTCGCGGAGCACATGCAGATGCGCGCCATGCAGTAGGGTCGCGACACGGCACGAGGAAAGATGCAATGTCATGGAACCAGGTAAATCCTGGTTATTAGGGGGGCAAGCCGATCGCGACAACCCGATGTAGTCGAGGCGGGGCCTCGGGGGGCCGTTGGTTTGGGCAGCCTTGGCCGTGGCGCGACCTTGGGAACTGCACTAATGCCATGCGCGCCACGCCGGGCCACGCCACGGCGTCGCCGCGAAAAAGCGTATTTGACTTATGCAATGGGTGACCGCACCGAGCGAGCGGGCGGCGGGCGGCCGGAAGATGCTCCGCGTCGCGGGTTCAGTTCGGGGAGGTCAAATCGGGCCCCCCGGTTGTAACGTTTGTTTTTCAACAGCGCTCCTTATCGCACAGAGAGCTTCAATAATGCGCGTTGTAAGCAACCCGAATCTAATAAAACACTCTTTATCGGAGCAGAATCATTGAAAAGTTATCTTTAAATACATTAACATGAGACGCCATCGGCGAGGCCTTGAGAAAAGAAGCTATAGCGCTGAGGTTCCCTTTTTTATTTTAGATTATTATTTACGGGGTTGTTGAAGGACGATATACGAATGTGACAAGGTTAAGGTTTCGGGAATGACACGGTAAATACTAGACTAAGGTTGCCAAAGGTTCTGTATGCAACGGTTCCTTGGAAAAGAGATGAAAGAAGGGGAGGTCCTTCTGATAATGAGAAGTAAAGGTTGTCGCGAAGGATATCATTGGAGGGAAGACCAGGACCGTCCCGTCAGTCTGCGTCTAATCACGCCTTAAAATACTTCACTTCATTTCAGTTTACTCCTGTTTTACTTCACTTCACTCCAGTTTCCTCTGTCTTCAGGCGAAACAACGACACCATCATCGGCGTCCCGTCCACCTATTTGCAACATGCGCCACAACATACGACATGATGACCACTAGCCGGAGTGACTTCTACACCACCGACATGTCAAGGCCTCGTCGAGCTCTCGACGGCTTACCTTGCTGATCGGCATGTCGTTGGCTAACGCGGAGCGCGTGCTGTATGTCGTGTGTGCTGTCGAGTCCGGCGGTGGCGGCGGGCCGGCGGTGAATGAACACAACACAGACGACAGTCCGACACGACAGTCGAGTAGCTCAGCTGAGAGCCCGCGTATAAGGCCCCGCCGCGGCCCCCCCCGGGCGCGGGGCGGGGGGGTCAGGCCGAGCAGGCAGAGCGGGCAGGCTATCTTATCAATGAAATGACTCTCAACGAAGTCAAGCTCGCGGAGATGAAATAATAAAAATACTGAGGGGGGGGGGGGAGGAGGGGTAAAATAAGTAAAGATGAAAAGAAAAGACGGGGAGGCGCGGCCTGCGTAAAACAATAATCCGGGCAAACGCCATGCGGTATGCGGTAAAATTGAAGAGGAGGCCGCAGGAGGCCGCGAACACAGCCGTGCGAGCCGCGAATCACAGTAAGTCACTCGATTGCAGCAGGTGTCGGAGGCATCATCCCTTTCTGGGTAACGTCGTTATCACGAACCTTTCATCGGTTAAGTACCCTGCAAGAATTAATTCCGTCCACAAAGAGCTAATGGCATACAGAAAACACTTGTGGGCTGTGGCGCGCATAGGCGCCGGCGCCTTGTTTTGGTTGTGCGGGTGGCGCGCCGGCGCGCGATGATGCCGCCCGCCGCGGGCCTCTGCCTGCTGCTGTACTTCAGCTGTGTCCAATTTAGGGGGTGCTAGGGGTCCTGAGACTCACCGCCTTAGAAACCCATGCAAAATATATGTGGGATAAAACGTTCCCGACAGCTCAGGACCCCAAGCACCTCTCTAACTAAACGCAAGCCTGGTGAATCCCGCGGGGGTGAAAGTAAGACGTATAAAAATGGGATGAAAAATATGTAGTGGAA